CGGGCTGGGTTGGAATTTGTTGCTTGATTCGGTTTGCCTCGACACGGCTGGGCTTGTCGCCATTCGTTTCCCCTTCCTCCCTTGTTCTCCGTCTTCGAGTCCGAGGGAGGCTAGCCGCTACCGGAACTGGCTAGTGGTGTTAGGCGGTTTCGGGACAGTATCTGATTTGGCTAGTGGTGTTAGCCGAATTGGGGGGCGATTGTGGTTTATAGCGGCCGGAGAGTGGGTCGGCTTTTTGATTTGGTTCGAAGGTAGAAGCTTCGTCTTTGCTAGTCATTAGGCAGTGGCGGGCACGATTCCTATGCTTAGGATCTCTCCTCGGAGTCGGCCTTATCCGCTAACGTCTTTGGTTGTCCTTTATGAGGGAGGGTTGTATGTTTTGCTTTTAGTTTTTTTACTTGTGTTTTTTGATTTTGTTTAGTCTTGTGTTTCTTGGTTAGTCTTGTATTTTTGGTTTGGGCCGTTGGCTCATGTATTGTGTGAGCCCGACTGTGTTCAGGTATTCTCCCATGGAGAGCGTTCCATATTCTCCGATTGGGAGCTTTGTGTTTCTTTGTTTGTGTTGTAATGTCGGTTATGTTTGAGTCTTGTTTTAGTTTCTAGCTTGGCTAGCTGCAGTTCTAGGCAGGCTATGACCTGTCCTCCCACTTTTTCAGCCGTTGGTTGTATCATTCAACTATGGGTTGTACTTTGCATTTGTGCATTTTAATTTATAAAATTCCTATCGTTCCGTAAAAAAAAAAAAATACATAATAACTGCGTCCAAGATCCCAAAACTTGTTCTTCATGATTTATTTAGTCACACGCAAATTATCATTAATATGGTAAGTTCTTCAGTGCGGTTCTCTGATGCCATATAAAGTAAGTTCTCCGACGCCTCAACATGGTAAATGTGGTTGCTCCATAATAATAGATATCTTGTAGAATCATTCATAATGTCTCGCACAAATAATATACCGATCAATAAATTCAATTAAATAAAACCAGCGAAATAAAAATAAATTAAAATAATAAAAAAATTCCATTTAGAGTTTGAGACGACTCCAATATCTCAAGTAGCTCCAAGCTTTAGTGGAGTTTGTCGATTTAATGTCAAAGTTCAAACTAGGGGTGAGATTTTATACCGGAGAATCGAATCGGACCAAACCGAAAATAACCGGTTCGGTCCGGTTATTAAAAAATAAATAATTTTTTTTTGGTTCCGGTTAATTTTTGCAAAAACCAGATCCGATTCCCAGTTATTTTCCAAAGGTTTGTGTATTAACCGAGGAACCGACTATATATATGAAATATGCACACACACACGCAGGTCAATTATATTTTTATATGTGCAAATATATGAATGTGTTCCGGTTCTTGATATGTAATACTCGCTTCCTCCTTTTTGCATTTCGGTTCTCAGTTTTTTATGATACTTTTAGTTCATAAGTTGCAATTTTTTTACCGGTTCTTAAATCAAAACAGGTTATTGTCGGTATTTTTCATAATTCGGTTACCCGAAGAACTGGAAAAACTGAAATGTTATATCTCGGTTCAGTTCTTTTTCGGTTCCTGCAGATATTTAGTTGTTAACCGAACCGTTTTTTTTATTTCGGTTCCGGTTCCGGTTCCGGTTCCGGTTCTTGAAAAATATGTTAAATAACCGAACCGGGCCTAGTTTCTATTTGGTTTGTTTTTAACTGTAGTTAATTTTGAAAAAAAGTGGTATAGTTAATGGTTAGTGGATATATTAAAATAATATTTAAATAAAATAATTAAAATTGATTTGATGTAAAGAGGTGAAAAAATAATTGGAATTGATAGTTAGTTAGAGTTATGTGAGTGAATGAATAGTGAATTAAAGTTGACGTGATGTGTATGAATGATTGGTTGATATTATTTAATTATATTAATAATATTGAGGATATGAGGGTTGAGTTAAAGTTGAGTTTTAATTAGTTTTTTTTACTATTCAATTCATAAACAATCACCCCCTTACAATTAAAAATATATATATGATTTGATTTTTTTTTCTTCTCACAATTGATACCCAATTGCCCCAAAACCTAAACATAACCCTAAAGTCACATTGTACTGTTCAGGACTGAGAGAGCGCACAGAAGAAGAGAGATGGATGCGCTTAGGAAACAGCTCGATGTATTGATGGGCGCGAACCGAAACGGCGACGTTCAGGAGGTGGCCCGAAAATATTATGATCGTGATGTCTGCCGTCTCTTCCTCGCCGGTGTTTGCCCTCACGAGCTGTTCCAACTCACTGTACGAATCCTTGTTTCTCCTTTTTCTTTAATTCCATTATTATGTCGTTTCTAATCTTGGATCCCGAACTTCCCTTGGATATATTACTCCTAAAATGTTGTTTGATTTAGGATTTTAGTTCAATCAGCAGTGATTTAGCGTAAAATAGTTGGTGAAAATTGTGAAGCTGTTGCGAAATCTAAGTTTGTTGATTATGTGAATTTGAATTTGATAGTGGTGTTTGGTTATTGGATTATTAGTTTTTGTGTTCATTGACTTAGTTGTGCATTTTTTGTTGCAGAAAATTGATATGGGCCCATGCCCCAAGGTGCACTCGTTGCAGCTGAGGAAAGAGTATCCTTTTCGTGATGAGAATGTCTATATTTGAATTAAGTGCATTTGACCAGTAACAGTTCTGATAATAATATAATGAGTATAGCGTCGAGAAGTTTTATAATGCATAACACAGAAAAACCTTGTTAAAATAATCATTGATGGTGTTACTGGTTACCCTTGTTTTCATTAGAGCCTGGGTTTGCAGTTGTTACACATTATTTCCAGTGCAAGAGAACATATTGTTCAGAGGCTATATATTTTCTACCTCACAGGAGCTGCTTATGGAAGAATTTGTTTTTCATCCTGTAATATTGGCTTGCTTTTATGTGGTGAAATAACTTATTGCTACTGCTTGTTATGCATCATTGTAGTCCGGTTGGCTCTTGTGAAACTTTAACATTTCCCTAGATATGAGGAAGCAAAAGCAAAGGGTGTTGATAATTATGACAGAGATTTAGAGGATACAATAGACAGGCTTATTGTTGAGTGTGACCGTAAGATTTCTAGGGCTCTAAAGAGACTTGATGAAGAGGATGCTAAGGCAGCTATAGCCATCTCAGTATCAGAAGTTACCCAGGTTATTTTTGTAATTTCAATTTCCTTTCTGATGGTTCCGTTTGTCTCTGCTATGTCATTAATAAATCATGTGGTACTGCAGACCCCAGAGGCCATTGAGTTGTCCAAGCAAATTAAAGAGAAATTGAAAGAAGTTGATAGACTTGGTAAGAATTGTCCATTATCTCTCAGTTTTGTAATAAGAAGTTATAGTTCATTGTGGAAATTATGTTCGTGTTGTACATAAGAGAGGGCACAAGAACTGCTTCTTAGCTCGCTCTGGTTAGAGCCTTCCCTCACTTCCCGCGTCCCTACATCATTTTTATGTGTTGTGTTCAACATTCTTTTATATGGTTATTTTTACGGATTGTGTTTAAAGTTATGTGGTTTTAATAGATTTTGAAGGCAACACAGACATGAAGATTCGGGCTGTGGAAGAGCTTGAAGAACTAAGAGTTAAAAGAGCAGACATGCAGGTTCAGAGGCTTTTAAGAATGTTTCATTCTTTGTAGCAGTGCGGTTGATCTATCAGAAGATTGTATGCTTATTTTTGTTCAATGGCAGGCAAACCTTCTGCTGGATGCTTTCAACAAAGATCGTGCATCTCTTCCTCAGCCCCTGACTAATGCTTCTCAAGTGACACCGTTGCCAGTAGCTGTTCCAGATCCACGCATACAGGAAATGATTAACGAGAAGCTTAAGAAAGCTGAAGATCTTGGTAAGATATTTGGAGCATCTCAACACATGTATATAATATATAACTTATTTTGACATAAATAGAATGATAAATATTGTTCACGACTAATGGATTCTGTTTTTTTTTTTGAAATTGTGGAAATTTGATTTGAATTATATATATATTAATGTAAGTAGAAGCCCACGGGTTATTGAAGTTATGATGGTTGTGTTCCCTTTACTATGTCACATGCGGATATGCTATTTTGATCAAGGATGTACATCATTATTTACCAAATATTATCTAAGCAATAATTGCTCCAAGTAATAGCGTTCAAGGTTTTTCACAGTGGTATTAAATGGCGGCCATGGCGGTATGGCGTGGCCGATTTTTGACAAACTGCCATGCTAAATTTGTAAAGGATGGCGGTTATGTCGGAGCCATAGGCCAGGACGGCGGCTGCTATTTGCCGCCATCCGCCATTAATAACACTGGTTTTTCATAAATGTTTATCCATTATAAAACATGCCGAGTTTTGAATGATGGTCCTAGTTTTGAATTTTCACCTCTGAATGTGTGTTTGATATGGTGTTTGTTTGTGGTTATATGTGATTATATTGGGTGCATGTTTCAGGTGAACAAGGAATGGTCGATGAAGCACAGAAAGCATTGGAAGAGGCTGAAGCACTAAAAAAGGTTTAGATCTTCTCAAGGGAATCAATTGAGCACTGTCCACTGTAGATATTTTTGTTGCATTGTTGTTTTCTGCTAATGCGGCTATATCCTATAAGGCTTCTGCATCTAATTTGCTTAACAAAGACCTTATTTTAGTTTTACTTTCATTTTCATTGTTGTCGATCCAGCTGCCAGCAGCGCCACAGGAACCTGTACTTGACTCCTCAAAATACACAGCAGCGGATGTGCGCATCGTGAGTCCACTGTTTCTCTTCTCTGAAAAATTTGGTTGAATAGTATGATACTGCTATATTACGCCATAATAACTTTCATGTAAAATGTGAGCTAAACTATCCTTGAAGAAATTTGGGAATGAAGTATGAAATTAATGTTCATTTCTTAGCTGACACGTTATGTGGATATCTTGTCTCGTGCATTTTAATCCATTACATCATATCAATAACTTTTTCATTAGATAATAATAACTTGAACAATATGCTTCATATGTATAGACCATGTTGTTTTTGGGGATGCAATGCATCTGTTTGGGGTGACCATATATATATTCTCCTTCAGGAAGGAAATTTTTTGCAACCTATAGAAAATTAGCAGAACTGGAATTTTGATGTCAACTAGTCAACTTCAATATGAAACATATACAATTGTTCATGTCAGTTGTTTTTTGAATATGAAAAGCGAATACTGATTATGAATCTGTGTTGTTTGATTCTGAAACTCTTGTTTTCCTTGACTTTCAGACAGACCAGAAGCTTCGGGTCTGTGACATTTGTGGAGCATTCTTGAGCGTTTATGATAGGTAAATGTTTTGTTGAACCGGCTAATTACAATACGAACATCTAGCGTTAGGACAAGAAATTAGAATTGAGAGTTTTTGGTGCTTCATTGTTTGACCTGGCAATCATACCTCCTTCTCACCAGCAGGCTTTTGGGCCCAGTTTTACGAGGATAAACTTTTGCAGCTAAAGAATGTGCGTTATTTTATATTTTATACTTGTTGATCACACTATTGCGACCAGAACAGTTACCATGCTACTGTCTTACAATTTACTAGTTTTGTTGTATGTGAGTTTGTAATGATAAGAAATTATCCGTACTTGGTTTTCAGTGATCGTCGTTTAGCAGATCATTTTGGTGGAAAGCTTCACCTAGGTTATATGCAAATACGTGAAAAGCTAGCTGAACTTCAGGTACGAGCACCATCTGTTATTCCTCCACTTGCAATTATAAGATCTTACTTTTATTAATACAATTTTACATCTACACATAATCATGGGATTCTCAGAGAGTTTGTTAATATATTTTCTGCTGCTCATTTGAACTCATACATTATTTTCTGATTTGTGTTGGTATTTGTTAGTATGTTCTGCAGTTAAAATATAACATATCCTTCAGTTCTAAGGTGGTACTTAAATATATCTCTGTTCAGGTGCTGCTATAATCTTTCAATTTCTTCTAGAGATTCTCAGTTTACATGTCCTCGTGAGTTCTTCTTATCCTAGTAGAAGAGTCTTCCCTTAATTACTTGTAATGTTGGTTTTTTTATGAGACAATGTGTCCATTTGCAACTTTTTCAGAAGTCTGAGGCAAAAGGTAAGCTAGCTTTGGTTAATCATCTGTTAGATTTTGATGGCAACATTGTTTGAAGGTTTCTAGAGTAAAGGGCAATAAAGAAAGTGAAATTATTGGGAATAAAGTTAATGCTTTGATATATTTGGTGGAGATGCACTTTTAAATTTTTAAGGGTTTAATCAATTGAGGATTGGCTATGCCTGATGTGCTCAACTTAACCTAGATGCAACGCTAATTAGTCAGTGGTACTTTGGATTTACCAGGCAAGGTGTAAGATTGCTGCCTTGAAGTAAGGTTTTCTTTTTTGGACAAACAGTTGTGCTATCCGTCATTGTGAGATTCTACCTGGCGTAAATTTAATGTTGGTCCTGTCTTCTAAGTCTGAGCAGAATCTTTTAATAAAAAATGTGTTCGCCAGCCATTTCTGATCTTATGCTTGGGTATCACGTGTGCGTTGTATGATTTTTTTTGGTTTCACTTGTATTCATTGCCTTCCATATTATCCACTATTTACAGAGTTCTCAATTCTCATAGCTGAGTTATTCGTAAGTGTTAATTTTTCTTAGGAAGTACTTGATTATTTGAAAATATGTGACACCCGATGCCAGATTTTTCAATGAGGGGACAAATTTTATTCTATTATGCTTCCTGGTATATGTAACGTAATTTTTATTGATAGTTCTGTTGGAGTGAGCAAAATGGTATCATTATGCAGATGCATTTTAGTATGTACTCATCAGAAACATATTTGCCGATAATAAAAAATTTGTTCCCAATCAATGAACTTATTCTTCTGTGTAAGAGGAACGGAATACAGATATTGAAAGAGGGGCCTGTTAGAATTTTTCTCTGATCGGTCTGTTAGGATTTTTTTTTAATTTCACTGTTTGTTGGGGAAGCATATGCTCGTTGCCATGCATTTTTCTGTTATACCAACTTTTTTTTTCCTTTTTTACAGGAAGCAAAGGACGCAAAACTTAAAGCCCTCAAAGAAGAGAGAAGGTCCACCTGAAATTCCATGTCATGATGGAATGACAGTTTCTTTGTCTTATTTTTTCGGTGAATGTAGGGATCTTAACATTGATTATTTTCTTTTCATCCAGATCGAGAGATAGGGAGCGTGAGAGAGAACATAGCAAGGACCGCGGTAATGGTAATAACAATGATCTCGGGAGGGATTATGATCGTAGGAGCAGGGACCGTGACAGGCATCATGACCGTGGCCAACGTTATGACCGTGAGCGCGAAAGAGGGAGAGACAGCACCAGTTCTCGTGGGTTTGACTCGAGGAGTCGCCATAGGTCTCGTTCCCATTCCCGAGAACGGGCGAGAGATTATGATCGCCACAGGTTTAGTCTCTCTCTCCCCCTCCATTGTCCATGTTGTGTCTGATAGCCTGAGGGCGTGTGCTTGTTTACAAATATATCTCAAAATGAGTTTTTTCGATTAACCATGATTAATTTTGAAAAAGTTGGATGATTAGTTGTTAGTGGAATTTTGATTTTATATTAAAATAATATGTAAAATAAAATTATTAAAGTTGATTGATTTGCCTTAAAAGTAAGAGAGAAATGATGTGAAGTGATAGTTAAAATTATGTGAGTGGATGAATAGTGAATTAAAGTTGATGTGATGTGTAAGAGTGTGACTTAAAGTTGATGTGATGTGTAAGAGTGATTGGTTTGTATGATTTAATTATATACTTGAGGACAGAGGAGAGTGGGGGACAGAGGACAGTGGGGTTAAGTTCAAGTTGAGGTAAATTTTGAGTATGAATTGAACTTGAATGAATAATTTTGTAAACAAACATGCTGTGATGCCAGTGCGGTCTCTAGATGTCAAAGATTGTCGAGTTGAATTATGTGATGGGTGAAATACAAAAACCACTCCCTAGGGCTAGTCTTATTGTCTGGTGAAATAAAAAATCACCATCAAAGTCTAGAGTCGTTGATGGGTGAAATACTATAACAAACCCCGATGGTCTAGTCTCATTGTAGAAAGCCCCAAAGTTTTAGAAATTAAGAGTCTATGGAGACCCTTAAGGTTTGATCCCCTGCTGTTTCCATCCCCTTCTTTAAGTGAAACCATTTAAGATCCCCTTTCATTCGTAAAATGTAACCATCACATTCGAGGATTAACACAATAGAATATCAAATCGTTTGAGATTTTTTGTTTGTTCGGTCGATTCTCTCATTACCAGTATGTGCTCGCTTAGACTCAGATTTTGTAAAATCCTCATTCGCTTGTTTGAACAGCTCAAGTGAGATATCATTTAATGTCAACTGTATGACCAAGTGGTAACACACAAATGTAGTAATTTTATGCAATCCTTTCTAGTTATGGTTTACTTTTCTCCTTCTAACTGGTGTGTCTATAATATTTTGCCAGGCGTCGATACTAGCTGCGCTAGCAGTCTTCAAGGAGGAAGATCTGCACTTTGTTTTTCGGTATTTCAAGTGATTTAAATGTTTCTGCTTTATGTCCGACTTTGAGTTCCAGATTGCTGCACAATTATGTTGGGACGAATTTAAGTAGCATATTTTAAATGTTTGATTGTGTTTGCATTATTAAACCCTCTGGAAGCATTAGGGTTTTCAGTTCTGTTTCATTTTTACTGTCCAACGCGGGAGATGAGTTGTTTTACAGTGAATGTATTCCTTGTAGAGCAGAACACAAAAATACACAGGAAGAATGTTATTTTCCCTCTTTCAGTTAGTGTAATTCTGAAGAGAATCTTAATGAATTAACCAGTAAGGGCACTTTTGGGATTTGAGATTGGATCGGAATTTGAAGGAAATCCCAGTTTATCCCTAATAATTTTTGTATTTGTTATTGTGAATTACAGCCCGCCCAAAAAAAAAAAAAAAAAAAACCGGCGCTGTAATTACTCCCATCCCATGGGTAAGGAACTGTAGATCAGACTCGGCGAGGTATGATCTGTTCTCCATTCTTCCATACCTTCTGGGAAAGGTCAATTTTGCCTCTATAATCAATTGCTATTCTACCAATTTACATGAGCCCCACACATAGCAGAACTCCAATAAACCTTATTTGTTGTCTTTCCAGTGAAATTTTGAATTTGAGGTTTAGATTCGGTCAAAAATTGTGAGGCTTTTTCAAGAAAAAAGTTGTTTCTATTTTGAATTTTCAGCTGTTTCCAGGCTCAAATCTCCAGCTAAGTATGTGCGCGAAATCCAAAAACGATTAAAGCTTACTGAAGCGAAGAGCGTAAAATTCCCGCACAAATTGGGTATTCACTCAAAGCTGTCGACTGGTGACAAATTGATGTTCAATGGCAATAGTGGAATTTTGTTTTATTGCTAAATGAAATTTGGGAAAGAGAAATCGGACATGTTGGTAATTGTCATTAGAAATGCAGAACGAGGCAGCTTGCATTCCACATATGGTACTTCTTTTTTCTTTTCTTTATGTTGGGAGGTATCTCCACATTCACTTTACTGCTTCACCACCCTTCACCACATCACCATCCAGTACAGTCCACCAACTTACGGTAGGCCTATCGCGCCAAGGGAATCCGCAAAGGATTGGGGGGATCCCCACACAAAGTAGTTGGACTAATTCTCCTAGAAAGAATGCAATGTCCTACTTACTCCCCACGATAAATTTGTGTTGGACTAATTCTCCTAGAAAGAATGCAATGTCCTACTTCCCACAATAATTAAGTTCGATCTCGTGACCACTTGACTACATGCCCTGGAGGCCCAGAAAATAGATCTAAATGGGTCAAACCATAGTGAATCATGTATAGGACAACTTAAAAGGGTAAACAATAAAAGAAAATTTCGTAAAGTTACTAAAATCATCCAATTTATTTACATAAATAAAAGGGGTTTATTATAATAATATATAACAATAACTTTATAAAAAAAAAAACTAGACATTAGTCACATGAAAATAACAAATCTTGAGTTGAATTTATCACTACAAATTAGAACCACAAAAAAAAAAAAAAAA